TGAAGATCTTTCACTTGCAGAAGAAGGTGTTTGGGCATTGAAACCTCACACCCCACTCCATTCCTTCTCCTGTCTGAGTCATGACAGTGCTGGTGGCCTCTGCCTGGGCGAGTTGGGATGTGCTGATCTAGCATGTGACCTACCTGTTCTCTTCCTTTTTGAAGAACACCTTTAGTACTCTAGCTCTGTGTGCAGGTGGGAAAACTTGACTGCTTGGGAGATTGGATTTGTAAGGGAAAAGGCAAAGATCCTTTGCTGGATCAGTGAATTTCAGTCACCCCTTTCAATCTGTGTCTTCCACCAGACATCCTGGAGGTGCTGACAGACATTGATGAGATGTCCAGACGGAGGCCAGAAATTCTCTCCTTTTTTGCTGTGAGTATTAGTGTCTCAGACTGCCACTGGAAGGAAGAAATTCTTTTCACTGGAGTCTGTGTTGCACAGCCAGCTTAAGTACTACCCTTCCTCTGCTTTTTGGGTCGTTGTTGCAGCATCTTAGGAGAAATTTATCTTCAGTTAGGCCTTCTGACAGCAGGCAGTATTTACTTCCCTACCATCAGAAGGTATACTGGGTCTGCCATCATCCACTTGTAACTTCTCTTTATGTCAGAGGATGAATTAACCCTCTCTCCTCTTCTCAGTATTGGGGCAAGGAGAGAGCAGAACAGCTCTGTCAAACAGTGGAGCCTAGGGAAAACTCAGCTGTCCCACATGGAACAAGATTACAGAAGGGTGCTCTAAAGTATTCAAAACCAGGATAATCCTTCTTACAGAGAGGGATTTCCTGGCTCAGCCAGTACCTGCTGGATGTGTGTTGGGCGGGATTGGTGCTGGAGGAGTTTGTGCTCCCTGGATGGCCTTGTGATCCTAATCTGTGCATCTTCTTTCAGACAAACTTACAAAAGCTGATGAGTTCATCAGAGGAGTCGTGCCGAAATCTGGCCTTTAGCCTGGCTTTGCGCTCCATTCAGAACAACCCCAGGTGAGGACCACTGGAACTTAGGCTATCCCAACTGATGGGCACTGGCTGGCTGGCTGGCATGCCTGTTGATGGTGAGTTGTACTGACACTTTCATGGTTTCCTCCCAGCATTGCTGCAGACTTCCTTCCCACCTTCATGTACTGCCTTGGCAGCCGAGACTTTGAGGTAGTGCAGACAGCACTGAGGAACCTGCCTGAATACACCCTCCTTTGCCAAGGTAAGTTGATGTCTGCCACCTTTGGTGCATGCTTGACCTCAAAGGGTCAAAGGTGGGCTCCTGTGCTAGGAACAGCCTCACTGAGAAGTTGCCACGGGTCAGTGTTGCCTAGACCAGGCCATCAAACCCACAGGTGATCTGCATCAAGAGTAGCTTTGGTCTGAGTGTCACAGGATGGGAGATTTGTCATAGAGACAAGGGAGGCTTCCTTGAAGTAAATTTGCTCCCTTAGAATTTTTTCTGAGTCGTGATCCCTCGCATGATCACATACCCACAGAGCTATTAGAGGGTAGATTGTGCCATGTTCTTATGGAAGGAGATAATTTCTTGCACAGCTGCAAACATTCATTCCGGTGTTTGTTGGTGGATTGCTCTTGCTTGTATGTTGGAGCTCTTGGGTCAGTCCTCATGCTGTCTGTCCCTTTCACAGAGCACGCAGCAGTGTTACTGCACAGGGCCTTCCTGGTGGGGATGTACGGCCAGATCGACACCAGCTCTCAGATTTCAGAGGCCTTGAAGGTTCTGCACATGGAGGCCATGATATGAACATGTGGTTCTGGGAACTCCATTTCCAGAGGAATTAATTTAACTGGACTCATCAGCTGCATTGAAGCCCTGTAAGAAGACAGTGTATTTCAACCCACATGCTGGAAGATCAAAGAAGTGACGTAGCAGGCCAGACTGTGCTGGAAAAGGAGTGTTTTCTGACTGAAGATCAGAAAGGGGCAAGGATCGATCTGTCTGGCTAAGACGCCATTATTGTGGGAGAAAAATCTCCTGAACATTGTGCCAAACAAGGACCACTTCCTTCATGGGGTCTTGGGGAAGTGGCTGTTGGTTTGTTGTTCGGGGTTTTTTTGTGTCTCCAAGAAGGCAGAGCTGCTGGGAGAGCAGGAGGGAGCGCTGGCCCTTGCACTTGAAGTCTCTGCACTCTGTGTTGGAGGGAACATGCAGATCTGTGCAGGGGGATTGTGGGGTGGGTGGTTTTGTTTTTTCTTTTTTAATTAAAATTGTCTTTGTTTCCATTGTGCCTTTCTCTGCTCCATGCTGCCTTGGGTGTAGCTTGACATCCCTCTATCCCTGTTCTTCAACCTCTTTTTATTCTAGACAAAAGCATCTCTGGAAGACCTGTCTCCATGGCCCAATGCTCACTGAGCTATCTTGGCCTTTTACAGTATGTGCAGGAAATGGAGGAGGTTTACAAGGGTCAATGGCGGCTAACGGATGAGTTTGGTCAGCAGCAACTGCTGACAGGACAACATGTAAGAGGTTCCTTAGAAAACTTTTCTTTAAAAACAAATAAATAAACTTCTTGGTGCATCTGCAAACATCCCAGCAGCTGGACACTGTCACAGTGGAGTCTTCAAACAAGCAGCTGGGTTTCTTCTTTGGGATCCACTAGTTCCTCCCTGTGACTCTTCTGAGCATTGCTCTCTGGTCCTTGTCTGCTGGTAGGGGCAGTGACTTATTTTCCAGCTGTCATTTGAGGACAGAAAAGGAGGTGTCTTCCTTCCCTCTGCTCCAGAGAAATAACTGCTGCATATGCTTCATTCTCCAGTCTCGCTTAATTCTAGTCACCAGTTTGCTCTCATGTCGTTTGTCTCTATTCCTCTGGCACTCCACTTGTTATTGAGAATCTTTGTAGTATTCTAAAGACAAAGATCCTGGAGGAATTTTATAGATAGCTGTAAATAAGTCTATATCTCCTTGCTGGTGGCAGGGACAGTTGTGACCTCATGGGTGGCCGGGTGAAGAAATATTGTCCACTCTTGCAAATGAGGAGTGCCACAGCTGAGCGCTTTTACTAATGTGTCAAAATATGAATGAATGTCCGGCTGGCTTTGCAGAGAGAGGGAGGAGAAAAGGGAGAGCTCTAAACCTCTCATCAACTCTAAGTAGCCTTGCCTTTAAATAAAGAGATTAGAGCCATCGCTTAAGGATGCAACATGCTCTTTTCCTCAGTAGCATCTGCTTCGCATCCAGAGCGACTACTGTGGCAATTAGCTACATATAAATTATGGGGAGGAACAGCTGAAGAAGATCAAGTCAGTGAAATGGTTTTCCTGAGGGGCTTGGTGACAGCAGGATTAATGCCTGACTAAAGGGCTCCCAGTGAGATTACTGGCTCCTCTTACCTTAGTCCCTTATCAGACATCGTTATTTGTCAGAGCAGTGAGGTGGTTCTTTTGGTGCTGCTGTGGGCCTAGAGCAACTGAGAACTTGTGGGACTGGCTGGGAAAGGGCTTTTCACAGGACTTTGGATCAAGGAGCAAGGAAAATATCTCAAAACTGTTACCACGCAAGGACAGCGAGTCAAACAAAGTAGTGGTGCTTTGCTGAAGACCCTCCCTGTGGGTGGGGCTTTCCAGAAACCCCACTCCTAGAAACATTTATGGGCAAAACCCAATTGCGTGGTTGGCCCCAACTTCTACTCTCTCTGTGTTGGCGAGGCCTGCTGTGAGCAGACCAGCTCCAGGAGACCTGGTTTGGAGGAGTTGGGGATGTTTGGATGTTGGCAGAACTTTGTAATGAGCCCTTGCAGCAGGACAGCCACGCTTTGCAGAGTATGGGAAAAGAGATGTGTTTGAGAAGGTGGAAGAAGCATTTCTTTATCATCATCAGCAGAAATCATCCTTTGGGAGATCAGGAAACAAATTCAAAAGGAGGGAGCGTGGGTGGAAGTTATTCTGCAAAGCTGGGCCTTCCCATACATCTCCCAATACAAAAAGCATCATCCATGATTTGTTGATCTCTCTGCTTTTTGCTGTATTGAAGGTTCCCACCATCCTCTGCTTGGACCCAGTGGAGCTGAGCAGGTTGCCCTGGCTTGGAGCACGTCACTGAAAACAGATCAGAGCTGAGAACGGGGCTGTCAAGGGGTGCCTGGCTGTGCAGAGACAGCTTAGGCAGGAGCCTTCCCTCCTGTCTGCAACGGCAGCCGTGACAGCTCTAAAATAGTTAGCGACGGCGTTACTGATGCCCTGATGCTTGCCTGCCTTTTAATCGGCACTCTGTAACTTTCATCTCCGCCTGGCTGAGCACCTTCTTGCCTCCCATCCCTGCTGAGCTGACAGTGTTCTCCTTCACAGATCTGCCAGGCTCCTCCAGGGGGCTGGGGCCATCTCCTCTGTCTTCAGGGAGAGCTGGTGCCTTGCTCAGAAGAGGAGTGGTGAGGAGGTTTGCAGGGTCATTCCTGGCCAAGCCCATGGGGCCCCTATGACTCACCCAGTGGAAATCCCTGCTCCCATCTGTGTTCCAGACACCAGGTCCCAGAGTGGTGCGAAATCCCTGCTCAGACACTTCTCTAGAACAATCTGCTGTAGTCAGAGCCATGGGCTGCCAGGGCTGGTGTCTGGGGGAGCCCATGTGGGGCTGGGGAATGTGCTCAACACTGGCTCGTGGAGAGGCTTTTTGTCTCCTTGGGTACACTGGGAATCCCAACCCAGCTCAAGGGGAGGCACGATGGGGAAGGGAGAACTGGCCACAGGCTAGTTTGGCATCCTGTGGCTGCACCCACCTTGGGGCAGGGCTGGCACAACCCCTGTGCATCATCTGGCCCTGCTTTGGTGCCTGCACGGCTGGTGCTGGGCAGGCAGCCGAGGCTTTGGGGGCCAATGGGGGCCCGGGGGGGA